GCAAAATGGAGGAAACGAACCTCCTACGGTTGAAACGGGGGTCCTGTTGATCGGGAGGGGTGTGGCATACCGTAAAACGGGACTCCACGGGATACTGTTCATCTCCACCGTCGACCTCCTCCAGCCTCCACGGGCTACCGTCGACCTCCTCCAGCCTCCACGGGCTCCTGTTCATCCAGCCTCCACCGCGCGCCACTCCACCGGCTACTGTTCAACCACCCCTCCACCGTCTACTGTTCATCCAGCCCTCCACACCACGGGGTCCTGTTCAACCACCCCTCCACGGCCACCCCTGCACCGTCTACTGTTCATCCAGCCTTCCACACCACGGGGTCCTGTTCATCTAGAGGCAACGTCACCGCTCACTGTTCATCCACCCCCCCGCAACGCTCACTGTTCATCCAATCGATCGGCTTCAGTTAGCAGCAGTAGCGAAGGAATTGCTCCATCGGGTTCAGTTAACAGCCATTGATCGATCGCTCGGGTTCAGTAACGCGTAGCCTGCAGTGCAATCGCTCGGGTTCAGTTAGAGCCCAACGCCTCGCTCGGTTCAGTTAGAGCTAACACCTCACACACACGCGCGTACGTGTACGAGAGGAACGCACATCGCTCGGCCCCCGACCTCCCACCGTAACCGGCAACACCCCGAATTTTTCCTCCCCCTCGCTTCTACCATGGTTTTTTCCGTCATGGACGGCCCAAAGAATGTCATGCAGCTGCATCTCCGGCCCGGCCAGGACGAAAAGCCCATTTTCTGTCATGATTTTTTATCATAGAAGTAGGAGCCCATCACATCTATGATGATACCGGGTTTTGTCACAATTATCGTCATAGAAGTGTCATATGTATGACAGAAAAAATTTTGGTTCGGCCCAAAATGTCACGGATCTGTCTTTTTTTTTGTAGCGTTATATGAACAACTTTATACCTCGCAAGGTTTCAACCAAATGCAAGAGCTTCTGGATGCTGTATCTTCCCGAGTGACGCCCTTGATGAATGTTGATCTTGAAAAACCATATACGGAGGAGGAGGTTCGGAGGGCCCTCTTTCAGATGGCTCCGTCGAAGGCCCCTGGGGTTGATGGCTTCACAACGGGTTTTTATCAGCGCCACTGGAATTTTCTCAAAGATGACATCGTTCCAGTTGTGCTTGATTTCCTCAATGGGGGAGAACTACCAACAGGGATGAATGATACTTCTATTACTCTAATACCCAAGGTACGCTTCCCACAAAAAATCACCCAATATCGCCCTATATCGCTTTGTCCAGTTTTGTATAAGATCGCCTCCAAGGCAATCGCTAACCGTGTTCGTGAGTGCCTAGATGATATTGTTGGTGCTGAACAGAGTGTTTCGTCACCGGCTGCCTGATAACCGACAACGTCCTTATTGCACATGAGAGTGTGTTTGCAATGCGAAGAAGGAAAAAAAGGGGAAACGCAGTCTGTGCTATCAAATTGGACATGATGAAGGCCTACGACCGTGTCGAGTGGCACTATCTTCAAGCCATCATGCTCAAACTTGGGTTTGGTGTGGATTTTGTTCGTCTAGTCATGAAGTGTGTTTCTTCTGTCAGATTTTCAATTCTTGTCAATGGCGAGCTTCTTCCTTTCTTTACCCCATCAAGGGGTTTGAGGCAGGGGTGTCCCATGTCCCCGTACCTGTTTTTGCTATTTGCGGAAGGCCTTACATCGTTGCTGAACCATTTCGGTGGAGGGGGGCAGATAAAGGCATACGAGTCAGCTACCGTTCTCCATAGATCAACCACCTCCTCTTCGCGGATGATAGCCTGATTTTCATGCAAGCAAAGGAGCAGAGTGCTCATAGACTAAATGAGATCCTGAGAATTTATGAAAAAGGCTCGGGCCAGGCGGTTAACAAGGAAAAGAGCTCCATATATTTTAGTCCAAACACTCTAGCTCCGGATAAGCTGTTGCTGAAACAAACACTGAACATTTCAATGGAAGCTTTCAGCGAGCGCTACCTTGGTCTGCCCACCGATATGGGTAGGATTACTAACGACGCGTTTGGTCATATTCGGGAAAGGATTCGAAGCAAACTCCAAGGAGGGTCAGAACGTTTGATTTCTTGTGCTGGACGGGAGGTACGAATAAAAGCGGTCGCTCAAGCCATTCCCATGTTCAGTATGAGCTGTTTTAAGCTAACCAAGAAGGTTTGTAAAAGCCTTGCTTCCTGTCTAGCTAAGTATTAGTGGAGCAGCTCCCTCGACCGCAGATCTTTGCACTGGAAGGCATGGGACTCTCTATCAAAGTCGAAAGCGAAGGGAGGGATGGGTTTTCGGGATCTTGAGATGTTCAACACGGCTCTACTCGGGGAACACGGTTGGCGTCTAATGACAAACCCTAACTCCCTCTATGCCCGAGTTCTTAAAGGAAGATACTACCCCACTGGCGACTTTATGCAAGCCATAGTTCCTCGTTGCGCCTCATCAACTTGGCGAGCTATAATCGCTGGGAGGGATGCCTGCAGGTTGGCCTCCTCAAACGCATAGGAGACGGCACCACGGTTTCTATTTGGCATGACAAGTGGATCCCCGGCACCATCTCCATGTCGCCGGTCTGCAGAATTGGAAATGCTCAGATGCATGTCATGGCAGACCTCATTGATACAAGTAACTGGTCATGGAAATCTGATGTGGTTCAGGAAAACTTTATCCCCTGGATGCAGATGCTATCCTCAACATTCCACTGAGGCAGGGATGGGGTGATGATTCTTTGGCGTGGGCTTTTGAAAAATCGGGTTGCTACTCTATAAAATCAGTGTATCGTTCTCTAATGACTCGCAACGAGCAACATGCTCTAGAGGAAGGGACGACTACCGAATCCTCAATGACAGACACGCAGTTATGGTCCCAGTTGTGGAAACTCAAAGTCATTCCCAGAGTGAGAGTCTTTTGGTGGCGAGTATTGCATGTCATCCTCCCAGCGGAAGCAACTCTCAAGTACCATCATATTGCTACTGTTAGCACATGCAAAATATGTCTTCATACTGGCGAAGACATGATGCACGCCTTGCTGGATTATTCTCATGCCAGGCAGTTTTGGAATGCAGCTCCAGAATGGTTGGACATAATAAGGCCAGAATTGCACCCACTAACCTGGTCAAAGGACATTATTTGTGATCCTATGTTCTCAGAGGTGGAAAAGAGTGAAACTAATGTCTGTTATGTGGACGATCTGGACCTCACGGAACAACATCACACACGACAAAGCTGAGCTTGACCCTATCCAGTCTTTGAGAAGGGCCCGGGAGTCTCTAGCAGTGCTCGACTTGCCGCGTGATCATGCTCTGATTCTTCCTGGCCATGGTTGGCGCCCACCAGAATCGGGCTGGATCAAAAT